GCCCAAGGAAGCAACAACGAACACAGGGTTTATCTTCAAAGATGTTCATGGTAGTGAAGTTTATAATTATAAAAAAAAAGAAAAGAACAAAAGAGAAGGAAAAGGAAGAGGAAAGAAAAAGAACAAAGCCAGGAACTAGGGCTTCAAAATTGTCATTCTAGCTACTATGGAGGTTGAAATGAGGAGAATAAAAGTTCATGAGACCCCCTTCTCTGCCCCATAGCAGGACACAGCTATGTGGAAAGCTAAGATTGAGGGGATTATAGTATCAAATCAACCTATAGAAATGTTCTTGAGACACTGTCTAAACGAGGCATCTGGGTGGTTTGGACTAAACTGCAGAGTCCGGGGTGGGTGGGCCTCCAGCTGATGTTTCATCTCCAGATCCAATGTTGATTTAGGATGGTGGCGGGGGATGGGAATGGGGGTGTTGTAACCAGAGGGTGATTTTGCCTTCCAAGGACTTTGGCCACTGTCTGGAGTTGTCACCAGCAACTCATTCATTAGCATATCATGGGTAGAGGGTAGGGACATGGTTAAGTACCCGATGCTGCACAGAGAGAGGCTACAGCAAGCAATTCTTCATCTAAAAGCACATACCGTTTCAAAGCTAGGACTCTGCTCTGGGATAAAGCCAGACTCCCATCAGGAATCTTCAGGGCTGAGAACTCACAAGGGCTAGAGCAAGGGCTTTGAGCCCAAGGGCAAGGGCAAGGGCCAGGGCCAGCCAGCCTGGGGACCACAGGCTTGCTCTGCCGGCTGGACGGTGCTTTCATTGGCTGTGTGACATCCAGGCTTTGTTCTTGCCCATCTGGAATCACTCCACAGCCAGCTCCTAGGTCGACTTCTACGACAACTTTGCCAAATGTCTCTGAGGGTGACCCTGAGGAGCACCACCCCCAAGAAGAGGATCCATGGAAAGTTCCTCTTCCTTACTGGCCTGAGTCACTTCCCATACTGCACGCAGGCACAGTACTGCCATTCTCCAGACAGATCCCCCATCTTCTCACATGGTCTCTGCTCCTCTAGTGTCGCTCAGATCTCCCCCTCGTTTATCAGCTTCACTCCTCTCCCTGCCTATAGCCGTACAGTGCCAGGCCAGGAGGACCCCTCCTCTCTACCACACCATCCATAGCTCTCACTCTTCCCACTCTGTGGGGGTGCGGGAGGAGGAGATCAAACAGCTCTGACCGTTAAGGTAGGCATCTGAGGTCCTTCACCTGTCCACTTCTCGCAGTGCGTTCCCCACTCCCTTGCTCACCTGCCAACATCGCCCCACAAGCTCCAGCCCTTACCCAAAGTTATAGCCTGCTTCCCTCTGTGACCCCTCCAGCATGATTTTTTAAGGTCTGAGACCAGAACTCGAACTCATTACCTGTCACTTTCGCTCATTGGCTAGTGCTCTACTCATTGAGCCATGCCTCCAGCTCCTCTCCAGAACTGCCTTCCTCTTCCACATGTCAGTCACCTGAGTTTCTGTCTTGGCCACTGCCCAACCATGACCTCCACCTTTGGAATGGCTTTGGATCTTGCTGTTCTCCAGGCTTTGCTGGAACTCAGCATGTGGCTTGACTTACCAATTATGCTTTGCTAAATCTCACACCGAATGTGCCTTGTTAAGAACCATTTTCTACTGTAAAGCTGGAAAGCAGTGACTTTTCTTGCAGCTACAAAACCATCCAGCTATAAACGTCAAAGAAAACCCATCCTCCCACCCCTCTGGGCAGTTGGGACGGGGTTGAGTGAAGGGACCATGCTCCAAGAGCTCCGTGTGCCCTTTCTGTGTGCTTCTGACCTGGAAAGTTCCCAGCTGCTCATGCCAGAGCCGAGCAGGTAACTTGCCCTTGAAATGGATCCCAAGGGGGAGTTGGATAAGGTGCTGTGGTATAAAATGGCTTAAGATATCGAGAGCCTGCGGGCACTTTTTGGCACGTACTTAGCTGCAGCAATCTGGATTTGAGCCAGTCAGTATGAAGGAAGGCTGGAAATAGAAGTCAAGGAGTTTCAGATCTTGAAGTTTTTGTCTTGTAACCACAAGGCAGAAATTTCTGGGCCCCACAGGGCTGCCCAGAGGGAAATGCTACTGCAATACCGAGGTACCTGCCTGCAGGGCTGCTTTAAGCCCCTTCCCAGAGGGGGGACAGAAGACAGCTGGTCTCCTCTCTGTCTCTGTCTCTGTCTCGGTCTCTGTCTCTGTCTGTCTGTCTGTCTCTCTCTCTCTCTCACACACACCACTCACTCACACACACATTTACATACACATTGCTAGAAGGGGGCAGGAGTTAGTACAGCTTTTGCCAAGGGCAACAGTGCAATATGATCAAAGACACACAATATCTGTTAGGAGGGTAAGCTTTTTTTCTTCTAGGTTTACTCATTAAAAAGAGGGCCAATGAGCCATGGTCTGCTGGCTCATATTTTTAATCCTAGCTACTCAGGTGGTCATGGTTCAAATTCCAATTAACCATCAAAAAGCTGAAAGTGGAGATGTGGCCGAAATGGTAGAGTGCCAATGTTGAGTGAAATAGCTAAGCAAGATCGCAAGGCTCTGAGTTCAAGCACTAGTACCAGCATTTTTTAAAAAAAAGTGATAAATACTGCAGCGTTGTTTATAAAATCAAAAGACTTGAAACAACCTACATGCTTAAGAGCAGGGAGCTGTTCATGAACTATAGGCTGTCTGTGAAAAAGGAAAGAAAAGATCAGAAGATCACTTTCCACGAGGTCTGGAAGTCTCCAGGATGGATGGACTCTGACAGGTTCTAGATAACAGAGTGCTAAAGCCTTCATCATCTTGGGGTTTGTGATGGCCAGGTGAGAATGAGAGGGACTGAATATTCCATCTCCACCACAAGAAGGTGGTGGCTCATGCCTGGAATCCTAGTTACTCAGGAGGCTGACATCTGAGGATCAACATTCAAAGTCAGACCAGACAGGAATGTCAGTGAGACTCTCATCTCCAATGAAACACCAAAATAAGCTGGAAGTGGAGTTGTGGCTCACATGGTAGAAGGCTAACCTTGAGCACAAAAATTCAGAGCTAGTGCCCAGGCTCTGAGTTTAAGACCTAGGACTGGCACCAAAAACAAAACAAAAGAAAGGAAAGGAAAGAAAAAAAGTGACCACAAGAAGGTCATCTATCACAAGGGTGATAGATGGGCTGCTATCAAGGCAGGGGCTGGATAAAAGAGACTCAGGAGGGAGCTAGCTTCCCCACTATGCATTTCCTCTTGTCTTTCTGCCTTGTTTAATATGAACGTATGACCCACTCAACACCTATCAAAAGCCCTCAGGACCAACAGCCACAAGGATGGCTGGTTCCCTTTATTCCTGTTCCTTCCCATTTCCCTGTCACTGCCCCAACCATAGTTACCCCACTGGAGGGTGCCCAGCCTGGCCTGCTCTGCGTACTGTGCACCAGGGAAGTCTGTCTTCAGCCTACTGGATTCTGGGAGGTGTTCTGTTGTGTTTCAGTAGAGCAGTCTCTCTGCACGGCTGGGATCTGCAGGGGTACAAGCTGTCCTAAGGGGGTGGTCTCTTCCCTGGCAGGCAGAAGCCAGGGCTGGCACCCAAGCCCTTTTCAGATAGTCTGACTGTCTTCCTCACTTCTTCCCCTAGGAGCTCTGCTCCCTGGAGGATGAGAGAGAAACAGATCCCTAAGCCGGATGTCTGTAAACCAGAACCTGTCTGCTGGGTTGGCTGCATGGTGTCCAGTGAACCTGACACTCAGGCATCCCTGGCAATCTGCAGAAGTGCTAGTGATGCAGTAGAGACACTTCAGAGGATGCACTCCAGGGAGAGGAAGGCACCTGTAAATGGCTTTGTTCTCCCTCCATGGGGGATAGGGCAGTGGGAGAGGAGGGGCAGTCTCCAGAGTGCCAAGGATCTGAGAAGCTGGAAGACAGCAGCTCCCTCCCAGTGAAGGTATGTATGTATGGTGTGTGTGTGGGGGGACACATTGCATTGCCCCCTCACATCTGCCTCCATAAAACCTACCCTGCATCCTTCAAACCATTAGAAGGCTGGGCAGCCAGCTGAGGCCAAGTCCAGACCCCACCAGTAATGAATGCTTGAGTTCTCTGCCTCAGTTTCCCCACCTGCCAAAGGTAGATAACCACAGTGCCTATTATATAGGGGTGTTGAGAGGATTAAATGAGTGACCACAAGTACTGTGCTTCAGATATGCCTTGCATGGATTCCATGACTAATAAGTATTAGCTTCGTGGTCATCAGCATCATCACAGGCCAAGCCCTCCTTCTCCTTTAGCCTCTATTAAGCTCTCGGGTACCATAGCCCATCAAAGCTATGAGCATCAGAACAGCCACAGCTGTTGTAGTCCCCAGCCCAGAGTCATCAAGGCCCACATACATGTGCAGTCACAGCAGTCACCCCATCTGGAGGCTACTGTACCCCAGTGCGCCAGGCTTCAGCACTCTCTGGGCATGGCCTCTGGGTCTCAGCAGCTGCCTTCACATGTTTCTGGCTGTGCTTATTTGCAAGTCCCACCTGCTCTTGACCAGCTCCTTTCCCAAATGAGCATTGGGCAGGGACAGTGGCCTCGCTGCCCAGTCCAGCCCTTGCACTCACAGCTTCTTCTTCACTCCAGGCTGAACCAAAGGAGCAGGTGTGACCATGGTCATTGAGTTAGGTTCAAGCCCAACGCAGTGACAGTGGAAAAATCCATCAGTGATTCCCACGCTCCAGCCAACATCTCCGTATGTCCACACAAAGTCAATTTACCATCTGATACTTGTGCCAAGAGCTCACTTCCAGAAAAGCAAATTCCTTTCAGCTTTACAACCTTCACTGACCATTCTCCCACCAGACTCAAACTTCTAGTGCTGGCTTTGAGCTTCCCTTGCCTTCCAGGACACCAAGTGGTTGAGATCCACACCTTGCTCCTCAGTTTGCACTCATGTTGCCAGAGAGGGTAAGCATAACCTACCTGTCCTGCCCCTTCCTGCCCACCATATACCCTGGATGATTAAAAGGCTCTTACTTTCTGGGAGCAAAATTCTGAGCATGTCTCCACCGTCATGTTGGCCTGGATCAGGGCAGTTGAGAAGGCGTTGGTGCTGTTCTCTGGCAGTCGGAAACACCCTCGGTAGGTGGCAGTCTGCCCTGTAAGAAAGGACATGGGTCTTCCGTAAGAAGTCGTATCTGTGGTTGCTGGTGCCTATCATCAGGGAAAATACTGGCTTTGGATTGCCAGACTGGGGTCAGAGAGGGAAACCTTCCTGGTCAGGGTGCAAGTGAGCCATGCTTCTACGAGAAGCCAGGTGTGGGATGGAGTCACCAACGGTCATGGATAGCAGACAACTTCACCGAAGCTGTTGGCTCCGGATTCTCTTCTCTTAGGAGATGATGTCCGTCTTTCCTTCCTTCCTTCAACAAATTTAGATAGTGCTCCATTCCATAGTAAGTGACCTGAGAGGCTGATATTCTTTTTTAGTTTATGTATTTATTTGTTCATTTATTTAGTCAGTTGTGGGGTTTGAATTTAAGGCCTGAGCACTGTCCCTGAGCTCTTTGTGGTCAAGGTTAATGCTCTACCACTTTGAGCCACAGCTCTACTTCTGGTTTTCTGGTGAATCATTGGAGATCAGAGTCTCATGGACTTTCCTTCCTGGGGTCTGGCTTTGAACTGCAACCCTCAGATCTCAGTCTCTTGATTAGCTAGGATTACAGGCGTGCACCTGGCTAGACTGATATTCTGTCAAAAGAAAAAAACCTCTCTAAGAGGTTCTGAGAAAATGTAGGAAAGGTCAAGGAGACATGGAAAGGTGAACTCCTGCCATTCCTTGCCGCTCTGCTGCCAGAGTCAGGCCGCTCTGCTCCGTTCTAAGCAAGGCTGGCCTCGTCAGGTCTTGAACTTCCACATGGATTCTAGGAATATTTCCCAAACCCATGTCACAAAGCAGGCTTCTTGCCAAGTTGTTCTCCAGACCTTCTGGGGATGATCCCAGATTCCCTTCTTGGCTCCCTTGGTACTAAGCGAACCTTTTGGAAGGTTCTGGCACCAATTGCTTGTATTTATTTCCAGACTTATCAGTGTGTCTCTCTGAGAGAGACAGTGATTCTCACCTTCACACTCCTTTACACACAAGGTCTCCCAAGGCTCCATGCTGTCCCTTCTCCACTGACATTGGAAAATCACCTATGATGGCGCCCTGCCTGGGCAGGGCCAAACCCTGAGTCTGGAAGCCCAGACCTGGGAATGAAGGCCCAGGCTCAGAAGGAAAGCAGCCTGTGCAGAGCTCAGCGTCTCCAGGCCTGAGGTCAGGTCCCAACACTGTCTGTGGTTAGCTTGCAACTCAGGTGTGTCCCTGGGGGAGAGCACGAGGAACACTCGGGGCCAAAGGATACCACTGGTGTAAGACACTGATGAGCTGTTGGGGTCAGCCTTGGCTCCATCCTGCACCACACACTCATGCACCTGCTCCCTGTGAGGGCAGGGCACCTTGCTAGTCAAAGCTGCAGTTTATCACCGGCGGTATCCTGGTTGCCTGTGACAGTGTCCCTTGGGAACAAAGTGGCAGACACAAAGATCAGCCCCTTAGGGGCAGTGCTGACCCCATGGTCATACATTGGGTGGACACAAGATCAGGAGCTGGTCTCAGTCACCAAGCCAGCTTGCCCCTCAGCTGGCACACAGTAGACATGAAATGCTCGGCTGGGCATCATGACCACAGACAAAAGGGTGGTCTGGAATCCACACACAGATTTGGTGCTCGCTCAGGATCAGAGGTCAGACTAATGTTGTTTGAACTTGAAGTAGTAAGAGATAGTAGGAAGGTAGCATTGGGCTGTGCGGTCCTTGGGAGCCGGGTACAGAGGAAGTGACAATAAGCATCTGTGTAGTCAATGGCCTCCTGAGTGAATCTTCAGGCTAGAGTTCAACCTCGTGCCCATGGCCCTTTCTGGGCCTCTTGAATGCAGAAAGTGTATAAGCATCCCTGCACTGCCCTCCGGTGCTGTGACCCATCTGCAGGGGCATGGGTCGCTATTAGGCTCCCCAGAATGCCTCACGGTGGGGATTCTGAACTACTTTGCAATTAACTCTTTCTGGGAGAGCCTTCCTCCCACTGTAGGCAGTGTGTGTGACTTGCCACTTCAGCCCCCAGCTCTGCTCTACTTGTGAACCAAACCAGGAGGCTCCAGGACCCTTATTTCTGGGAACACGGACAGCGGTGGTTGTGTCTGTAAGTTCATGGTGGGGTGGGGCATCTGAGCTGTGCCACAGTGGCCTGCAGTCCCCTATCTGCCCGGGAAAGGGAAGTACCATTTCTTCCCAGCCTGGTCCCTCTAGCTGAGTCAGTGATGGTTCCCAGCCTCTGTGAACCTGTACAGCCCTGTCCATCCATGAGCATGTGGATCTGGGCCTAGCACTAAGCACGGTGCTGAGCTTCCAATCCATCTACCTGGGACTCCTTTGGCATCATTAGCATTTGGCTGCTCTCTTACTTAAAAACCTGCTGCTTGGGTCTCTGTTTATTCTCGTGGTTGAGGATTTCCTCTTGAGTTCTGTAATTCTGAATTGTAAGCTCATCTTCTGATGGGAATGCTTGACCCCTAATTCCCAAAAGTGTCTGTCAGATGCTTCCACATAGCCCAGAAACAATTTTTATACAGAGGTTTTCAGGATGAGGTGCTACATGTACATTGGAACCCCATAAACTCAAAAATGCAAGATGGTAGTTACAAATCCTTAGAATATTTAAGTCAAAACAGACCAACTCTATTCCCATCTCTCTGAACTGGTAGGTTATTACTTTCATTATCTTCTAATGTACATTCCTAGCTGGTTTATACTTCATATTGAGTTCTAACTTTATGAGGCCTCCTCTCCTATCCTGTTTAGACATTGACACCTACACCTTGGAGTAGCATCTCTTCACTGAGACCCAGGGTGACCTGTGTTTCTTACAAGTGTGGGTCCTAGTTTCCTCTTTACTTCCTGGCCCACAGGGTGTCTTACTTTCCTGCTGGTCAAGCTATCCATTTAAAATAATGTTGATGAAATCCAATCTGGTATTCAAAGTAGATCCAAGGCAGCTTGCAAAACTGAGAGGGCAAGTGAATTGTTTAGGGCCACACAGTATGTGTGAGACATATCTGGGCTTCCTGATCAGTGTTTCTTGCAAGGAATAGGTAAGGTATGCCTAGCGATGAACTCACATATTATTTAACTCTGATGGGCCTCAACGCCCCCTCCACACCCCTCCGGGTGCAGGAATAGGGAGGGAGCACATGTGTGCGGACAAGGCAGTCAGAGCACAAGGGACAGAGGTGCAGGGCTGGTGCGGGTACTGGCACACTCACGCTTCCTGGAGCTGGGCTGCAGCATGTCCACACGGTAGACGGAGAGCCGATCGCTGGCACCACACGCTGTGCCCTTCTCCCCTTTGCACTCCTGGTTGCACTCCTGCAGGCCGGCACGCGTGGCAGGCAGTCGGTTCCCACAGTAGCACTCTGCACCGGCCTCCAAACCTGCGTAGATGTAGGACCTGCGGGGACACAAGCCCTGGGCTAGGAGACGAATGGAACTCAGGCAGGAGATGCTGTCTGCAGGGGTGAGAGGGAGGAGCCAGGGGCCATGGCCAGAGGAGGGAGGCAGAACCTAATGGAGTTATCCGTCAGCTCAGTAAGTCCAGGGAACAATGGCTGTCTTTGTAATACACAGTTTGTCTTCCCTGATCTGTTGTAGCATCCCTGAGCCTCTCTTCTAAGGTGCCATCACCAAGGAAGTAAGTTGGTGGTATAGGGAGCAGGTTCTCAGTAGTGGGTGAGGAGAACATAGTAATGCCTGCGAAGTGTATGGTATGGACACTGTCACGGGAGATGATACACCTCCTACCATTCAGTAATAGGCTCCCGACAACTGTACAGATTCAAGGCAGACTCAGCATTGGCCCCATGTGCGTGACCTACATCATGTCATACTGTGCATGGCCCTGCCACATGGTCCCTGGTCTAACAGCCACTTCTCTACCCCCTGTTTTCTAGTGAACCATTGCTATAGTAAAGGAAGACTGGAAATGGAGCCTATCACACATCATAAGAGATCATAGCTATAGGGATGGTCATGTTTCCAAACTCCTTTCTAGGTAGATAATGGTGTGGAAGGCAAATCCCACACCACTCCTGTCTCAGCTTTAAATGTTATGAGACTAAAGGAGATCAGGCATGCTCAGTTTCAGCTCTAAGCTACGAAGCATTGGAGTAGGGACCTTGTTCTTTCTTACTCCAGCCTCAGTTTCTCCATTCATAACATGGAGGATCCTTAGCTGTTATTGATAGAAAAATGTGAACCACAGCTAGGTGCTGGTTGCTCACACCAGTAATCCCAGAATACTGAGGAGGCTGAGAAAATTGTGCTTTGAAGTCAGGGCAGAAAAGTCTGTGGGATTCTATCTCCACTTAACCAGCAAAATGTTAGCCTGGGAGTGTGGCTCCCATAGTAGGAGGGCTAGCTGTGAGCAAGAAAGATAAACAAGAGCATAAAGCCCTGAGTTCAAGCCATGGTACCAACACACACACACACACACACACACACACAATATGAAAGGTTATAAGGTGACTGAAACGGATGCATCGTGCTGTGTGTGTGCTGTTCTTCTGCCTGTCTTCCCAGTGTGCACCTGTGTCCACACAATGCCCTGAGGTCCCGGGTGGTAGTGGTCAGCTGAGGCTGGTAGCAAATGTCTGGAAAGCAATAGGGACACTGGCAGCATCAGAAAAAGCAAATCTCATTATAAACACAAGGTAGAGATGCTTTTCCTAACACAGCTGGTTTCAGAGAACTGTAGGTTAAAGCCTTTTATAAAAAAAAAATCTATTTTGGGCAAACAAGCACACTGAAGCCCAGGAAAGGAAATCAACCAAGTCACACAGGGAGCATCTGGTATGGCGGGATTAGAGGCCAGGCCTCCCGGCCCCTGCCCAGTGCTCTTGCCATCTGCCGTGAGCTTCCCTCTGGAGTCCTGGGGTCTCTCTGATGGCCTGGGGTCCTAATTACACCACGAGGGTCAGGTGGCAGCTAAGGTATCAACTGGTTCTGAGAATGTCCCCTGGCTTTGTTTCCGGGGCTGGCAATGGTGTGATTCTAGTACTCACCGCTCAGCACATGCATCCTGGCAGTGGGACACAGTCATCTTTCTCAAGTCGTAAAACACGGCCCCCTTCAGAGTCCTCTCCTGGCCCTCATCACTGAAGCAGCCCAGGTAGGTGCCTGTAGGAGGGGGAAGCACAGCTGAGATGAGAAGCCAGAGGGCAGACACAGAGGGCCTGACCATGGGCCTCTCAGGGCAGGGCTGGGAGGCCTCCCCCCCCATTCTGAGCCAGGCACCTCTCAGGGAAGCACAGGGGCCCAGGGCTGCCATCCAACTTCCCCGGGCACAGGAGCCAAGTTGGCATCAAGACAGCTCCGTCTCAGTCATTTCCTGCCCCCTCTCTTAGTTAATGGGCTCCTGTCCGCTTGGACACCCCCAGCTAGGAGCCAAACATCTGCCTGGTAACTGCTTTCCTCCACCTTTCCCTCAACTCCTCACATTTGGATCTGGGTTTTAATCCATTCTTTGTGGCTATCCTTGTGTATGGGGTACCCTGTGATCATTCGGTACATGTACAGGCGTGATGATCAAATCAGAGTGGTTAGGTTTCCACGAACATTTGTTTGTTTTGGTGCCAACACTGGGGGGCCTGAAGTAGGGGCCTTGTGCTCTTGCTTGGCTGTTTTGCTCGACTGGCTCACTCCATCATATAAACCTCACCTTTCCTTCCAGCATTTTGGAGATGAGAGTCTCATGGATTTATCTGCTCCGGCTGGCTTTGAATCCACATTAACAATTAACCATTTTAAAAAACCTATTTATATGTAATAATTCAATAGCTTAATGACCTCATGTGGGCCCCCTACATCTCGATTCCCCCTTCCTAAGCTCAAAGAAAACCCTCTCCCACTCAAAGACTCAGAGAGGAAGTTCTACCACCCCCATGAGACAGGAGAGTAGCAGGGAACGTGCAGCATTAGCTAGCTTAAGGAAGATCCTTTGGACACAGGAGTTATTTAAGAGAAATGCACAGTATCGCAGGAGTGATTAAGCAGCCCATTAAAGGGTAAAGCAGGCATCCTAGGTGGGACCCCAGGGCCCTGTCCAGCCCCCCTGGCACACCCGGATAGAAACAATGTGAGAATATTGACTGTGCATGCCTCAGAAGTCCTGCAAAGTCCTACCCCAACCCCTCATGGAAGGCAATGCCTCTCCAGGATGTGCCAGGAAGCTCAGAGAATCTGGGCACCATGTAAGCCCAGCATGGGGCATGTAAATGTCACACGTGCTGCTGTGTTTTGAGGGAATAGTGCACTGGGAATTTGCAAACACACCATCACATGGTCCCCAAGCTGTGAATGCACACCCACCACCACAGCATGGAGATCTGGATGGGGGCACCTGTGGTACCAACACTGCACACTTCCTCAGGATGTGTTGCTCACTCGCTGCAGCTGCATCTGAAAGGCCACCTGTGGCATGTGTGCTGCAGTCCCCCATGGGATGACAACCTGAAGACCCCCTGCAGCCTGTACAGCTCTGATTCTCACCATCCCAGGGTCCAGGGGGCCCGAAGACCATCAGCTCAAAGAACAACAGGGTGGGGAGAAGGCTAGCAGGCATCTTCTTTAGTGCTTACCAAATGGGGCTAGCCCAATTTTAAACTATGCACTCCTGACCAGCACACATGGCCATACCCACCAGCTGACCCCAGGCAGCAGTGACATGCCTCCCCACCACCCTGACCCTGCCTGACTTGAGGATGGCTTCCCTAGGCCCTACATGCTTCTCTCTCCTGTGGATCTCGAGACTACTGTGCTCAGCATGCATTGCTGCAGGAGATGTGAGCACCAAGTGTTCTCTGCCTCCTTCCACAGTGAAAGGAGACTCACACTTGAGACGTTTCTCAAATTTCTCTTTGTCCAGCAAAGATGAACAAAAAGTCCATTACAGATGTCAGTCAAAACATCCAAGTTTGACACTGGTGGCTAACACCTGCAATCCTAGCTACTCAAGAGGCAAAGATCAGAGGATCATGGTTTGAAGCTAGCCAAGGAAGAAATGTCCATGAGACTCTTATCTCCAATTAACAACAACAACAACAAAAGTAATAATAACAAACCCAGAAGTGAAGCTGAGACTTAAGGAGTAGAGTGCTAGCCTTGGGCAAAAAAGCTCAGGGACAGTGCCCAGGTCCTTGCCTTCAAGTGCCAGAACCAGCACAAACAAATCAAAAAACATCCAAACACAAACAAAGGATTGCTAAATGTTATTACTGTAGCTGGAAAATTAGTCACCAAGTTCTATAGGTACTTGAACTCTAGACTTTCCAACATTGGGCAAATGGTTGGAAATTAAGTTAGGTTCAAGTCTTTGCTCCACTACATGTGTGACCTGGGATGTGTATTTCCCCCTCTTTGAGCCCAGCTTCTGCATCTGTCAAAGGGAACCAGCTCCACAGGCTGCTTGTGAGACTTCCTTAAGTCGTGAGTACTCAGTAATTATTTGTTGTTAATAGCCCATTATTAATCATAAAAACTTCTAATGACTTTTCCCTGAAACTGAAATTCTTCATCATCGAAGCAATGAGTCTTGCTTCTGTCAGAAGGCTGTGCAAAGACAATTAAATATGACGACAGATGCGCATCTTCACAGAACAACGCTTGGGATGTGGCACATGTTCCAATAAATAGCAGCTATTACAATTCTGATCCCATATTCTAACCTGGGAACTAGTGTGAGGACGGGCCAGTAAATATTAGCTGAATAAATTAGCACACTAATAGAAGAGAGAAAAACAATGATCTCAAGCACAAAGGCTGGAAGGGCTACGCTTGACATCCAGCCAGTGTGGATGGAATACACACACACACACACACACACACACACACACACACACACACACACACATGCGAGCATGTCTCTGCTAGCCCTAGATAGGGCTGGATGCATAGAGGGTTCCTCTGGGTTTGTGAGAAACCAGTAGACCCTTTTATCCTGCCGCATAACAAATGACTTCTCCAAGTTCCGGACCAGAGGGAAGAATGTGCAGAGAAGGAAGAACTTTGCAAGAGATGCTGGGACACATCCAAAGCAGATTTATTACTGTCGGCTGAAATGGAGGCGATGGATTATTGCCTGTGACTCCACATCTGTTCATTTGCACATCGAAATGGACAAGCCATGAGGCTATTAACCGTGGCTTTGGAGATAGTGGAATGTCTTTGGAAATTACTATCAATAAAAAAACAAACTGGCGATGGAGAAGTTACTATTTCTCCCCTAGTAAACTTACTGACATTTTATTCCATTATGGATGTTGTCCAAGGTATAATGAAATGCGCGGTGATTGATGGAGCCTCCTGCAGCTTGCAGGATCCCCTTTCAGGAGGATGGCAGGCTGCCCAGGCCACAGAGAGATGCTTGCTTTGTCTGCAACCCCAGCAGCTGGCCCCAGAGCGACACACTCTCCACTGATGAAGACTGTGTGGCTCTGCAGGCCCCAGGAGACCTATGAGGGGAGGGGGAGGGGAGGGGGCCTCTCTGAGGCTGTTGGACCAATGTTGTGCCTTTCCCACTCTGTGTGTGTGTGTGTGTGTGTGTGTGTGTGTGTGTGTGTGTGTGCACGCGCGCATGCGTGTATGAAAGGCTTGAACTCAGGGCCTGGGTACTCTCCCTTGGCTTTGTCGTTTAAGGCTGGCACTCTATCACTCGAGTCACAAGCTCCACTTCTGGCATTTTGGCTAGTTAATTGGAGATAAGAGTCTCACAGACTTTCCTTTGTGGGCTGGCTTCGAACCTCCATCCTCAGATCTCAGTCTCTTGAGTAGCTGGGATTATAGGTATGAGCCTCTGGTGCTTGGCCTTCCTTCTTTCTCTGAAGACATCAAGCCAGACAACAACTCAGCCTCCCTCAGAAACACTTTGGATATTCTTGTGAGAGAGCAAATTCTTCCTTAAATTGGGGGCACATTCCAAATATAGAATGGCCACCCATCCTGAGGCCCTGGAAGTGATCCTAGTTGCCCCTGGCTGCCCCAGGAGTTAACCCCTTCCTTGCTGAGAAGCAGGAGGCAAGGCTCAGGGGCAGGACTGTCAACAGTGTGCAAATGTGCCATTACTTTAACCCCCTGGGAAGACAATCTTGTTGGTTAACAGGTGAACACCAGTCCTGCTTACATCTTACCACAATCTCTCCAGCTTTTACTGCAGTCCCGGCCATCTCTGTGTTAAGTCACAGGAGGTCATGCACTGGTTCTCTTGGGCATATGTGTTCTAGCCCAGGGCGGCAGCTGGTCACCCTGAGCCTCTATTCCCTTGGTAGTTCTAAAGACTTTTCCTGTCTGGCAAGTTTGCAAGCCCAGTGCCAGGCCTCTGTAATCACTGTTCGGGATCATCCAGGGGCATGGCCAGTCCCTGACCAGGCCTGAGCACTCAGGACAGAGTGGAGAGCACAGAGTCTTGTGCAGAGAGTATGCACATGTGGATGCGAGAGGGACATGAGGGGTGATCAAGGCCAATCTGCCCCAGGCCACAGAGCCAGCAAGAAACAATGTCAGGAGAGGAGCCACGTCTGTGCTCAGAGCATGTGCTCTTCATGTGGCTTCCTCTAGAAATCCATGCCGCTCCCAGCCAGCCATTTATACCTTAGTCTAAACGAGTTGCACAGCTGAGATCCTGCAGAGACCCAGTGTCTCAGTACACCAGGGAGAGGTTACAGAATGCACACCTGTGGAAAATGACCAGTTCCTCATGTCTCTTTTCTCACAGACTTGCTGAGAATGAGATGAGCAAGACCAGGACCTCGATAATTCCTGGGAAGGCTCTTTCTATGGATACCAAACACTCAGTCCTGTAGTCTCCATGGAGTCCCCGAGTCAAGCTTCCCTCACATCATCCTCAGAAGAGGGCCAAAGCCCTGTGTTCTTTTCCCAGTTCCAGAACCAATCAAGAAGCAGGAACAAAGTCAGACTCCGAGGCCAGCATGCCAGAGACTCAGGGACAGGAGCAACAGGTATGGACGTGGGTCATATCCGAACTCCTGTGATGATGACACTGCTTTTATCTAAAACAAGTCTAAACCAAACCTGGCATACCTCCAACATCCTGTCTCTTGTTACCCTCTGTCCTGACTTTACACATCCCAGCATTCCCCCCCCCACCCCACATGGTGACTTAGGGTTCAAGTCCTGGTTGATGAGGAGGTGAGAGGGAGCCAGAGAAGGCAATCACTGCTGGACAGCATCTGGAACTGGCTCACTCGTCCATTCCCTGAGCCTTGCACAGGATTCTGTGCACTCAGACACACAGCACTGGCCCTGAGCTAGATGGTCTCTGTGGGACCAAGCCAGCAGCAGCACAGCCATGACCATGACCCTAATGGTGACTGTGACTATGACTGAACCTGCCAGCAGCAGGGCCTGAAACCACACCGTCAAGCTCCTTCCCACGGTGCTGGCCTGGACCACAGCTGCGCACAGCTGCTCTTCTGTATTAAGTACCTTCCTTTAAGTAACTCCAGCATCAGTGTCTCTAGCTCCATTTTATAAGAACCCCAGAGAAGTTGAGGGACACATCCAAGGTCACCCAGCTAAGCCATAGATTCAAGTTGAGGTCCAATTGAACCCCAAACTCAAGCTCTGTGTGTCCAGCTCACACATTGCAGCCTTTAGCTTCATGAAATCCCAGCAGGTGAGCAAAACACCAAAGCACCTGACAGTCCGGCTCCTTGCTGTCCCTACAGAGCAAGGACAGGGACAATCTGTAAAAGCCACTTATTTACAGGACCTTCTTATCCAACTGTCACACCTGTAGTCCTAGTGACTCAAGAGGCTGAGAAATGAACATCATGGTTTGAAGCCAGCCTAGTCAGGAAAGTCCACGAGACCCTGTCTCCGATTAACCAAGAAGCTGGAAGTGGCACTATGGCTCAAAGTGGTAGAGCGCTAGTCTGGAATGAAAGAGCTCAAGGACAGCAGCACTCAGGCCCTGAGTTCAAGCCCCACCACTGAACAAGAACAACAATTAGCAAGAGGGGGAAATGAAATGGACATAGGCAAGAGACTCTGTGTCCCAGTGAAGGGTCTGGGGGCATCAACCAGAGACTCTGTTGAGCACCTACCTCGGCTGCGGGCAGCAGGCCCAGGGGTCTCCGGGGCCAGGGTGGGCGGTGCCTGGAGGTCACTGGTGAAGTGGTGGAACCAGCGGCGGTGGGGTGAGCTGCGATTTCTCCGGGGCCAGCGGAGTCCTGGTGGTGGCCTCCGGAGCAGTGGACTCTGCAGGACATCCACGCCAAGCAGCAGGTCCGGGCTCCCACGAGGGTCCTGCAGGGCCCTACTACCCAACAGGTCCACACCCAGGGCCACCGTGGCCACCGGCAAGGCCTGGGGGGCTCCCGGGACCCGGGGACCCTGCGAAGTGGCCACTCGGGCCCGCTGCAGGAGCAGCAGGCTGCCAGCCATCAGATAGGCAGCTGTGAGAAAGAGCAGCAAGAATTGTGTTCTGCGGAGAAACTTCTGGAGTCGGAAGAAAGGTTTGGCCATGCCCCTGGGCAGCAGGGCTCCTGGCTGGAGCTCAGGGACTGCTCCTAGCGCCTGGGCAGGACAGAGGCCAGGGTCTGGGGAGTTGTCATCCTTGAATCCTGGGTCCTGCCAGGTCTCTTGAGCTATTGAGCACGTGGGTGTTCACAAGGTGCCATCCATCACCTCCTCCCAGCGGTGGCTGTGGGCCCTATGTGCCACCGCTGATTCCACCTGGGGGTCACCATCTTCCTCATCCCTGTGTTCTGGCCAGCCTCACTGCTCAGTGTGGAAACCTGGAAAAGTACCAAATGAACACTTAGATGCAACTGGAGAGTCTGTCTGCCATTCTCCCTCAATTACTCGATTTATCAAAGGGACTGGCTGTGTTGGAGGAATCCTAGATGGAGGGCTGGGCTCAGGTCTTAGCTCTGCCACCAGCCAGCTGTGTGACACTGGGTAAGTTGCTTAACTACTCTGGCCTCATCTATAAAATGAGGATGATAACCAAGTCAGAAGCAGGAGGAAGGAAAAGCAAAAGCAACTTGGTGCTGCGTCCCGGCAAATGTCAGGCCCTCCCATCTTTTCTCTCTCACGAACCCAGTGAGGTGGACACTGAAACATCCCTACTTCTCAAGTGAGGAAATTGAAGTATAAAGATAAAATAGTTTTTCCACCTGTGATTTAGCTATTCAGGAGGCTGAGATCTGAGGGTTTCTGTTCAAAAGCCAGCCAGGGTGGGAATGTCTATGAAAGTCGTATCTCTGATGAACCACCAAAAAAGCTGGAAGTTGAGCTGTGGCTTAAGTGGTTGAGCACTAGCCTTGAGCGAAAGAGTTCAGGGAACAGCACCCAGGCCCAGAGTTCAAGCCCCAAGCCTGGCACACACAAATTACTACTGCTGCTACTATGACTACTACTATAAATAATAATAATTTTCCCAAAGCCACAAGGTCGGCCAAAACAAAAGCCAAGATTTCCCAGTCTCTATTGAAATTTTGTCCTGCTAGTACTACAAAATTGAGACAACATAGGTGACCAGATTATCAGGAAACGCAAGCCACACTGGCCCCGCCTGACACAAGTATACAGTGGGTGCTCGATAAACGCAGGCAACAATTGGACTACTGCCTGCAGGCCGCACTCTGGGAGGAGTCTCCGGGGAGAGAGGACTCGCACAAAGGCAGGGGCCAGTGGAGGGGGGAGGCTTTCAGGAGACGAAGGACCAGATGGGCCTGGGAGGCTGGGCACCTGATGTGGGACAGGGCCTCCACTCCCCAGGTCCATGCAGGGACGCTGGGCACTGCTTCCCACTGGCAGCACCTCTGAGGCACACTGTGAGGGTTGGCAGCGGGCACTGCAGCTGCCTGGGGCCGGGCTGCTGTGTGAAGCAGGCTCTGAGCACAAGGAGAGGCTTGTCTCAGAAGAAAAGCCTCTAGAAGCGTGACTAAGCCGCTGCCCATGACGAACCGGGCCCGGCCCCCTGCCAGCCCTGCCGGCCACTCAATGGCCATCTGTGTGCAGGGGCTGGCGGGCCTCGTGTGAGAAAAAGACAATGTTTGGGCTCTGGGGCCCCAGAGAGGCCGGGGGCCCAGGGGGAGATTCAAGGGAGATCAAGGACAGCCGGGCTGTTCCCAAAGGCCATGCAACAAGGCAGCCGGCTGTGAGGCCTCCGGAGAGGGCAGGGATGGGGGGACACAGGCCACTGGCCTGAGCAAATGAAGGTGGAATTAAGCTGAGCGGAGAAGCCATTTCAGATATCTCACAGCCCTGCACTTCTCTCTGAGTTGGTGAATCTGCCAGGTCCCTGCAGCCGGCTTCAGCTTTGTAAAACCACAGAGAAAATCCCGCAAAATCCCGACTGATCTCCCTGTCTCCTGCTTGGCCCCCTCCAATCCACCTTCCACACGCCTGCCAGGGTGATCCTCCTAACGTGAAAATCTGCTCATGGCTTCTCCCCTGCCTAAAAGCCTTTTCCATAGCTCCCCCAGGCTTGGGGGACAAACTCCAAGCTCCTTAGCATGACATAGGAGGCCTCATATGTAATCCACATTGTCCAGCCTTGTGTGTATACATAGCCGGGCCCTGGGCCTTGGTGTCCCATCATGCCGATTGCATGGTCAAGCAGAAACACCCATGACCACAGTACACCAGCCTCAGTGCCTTTGTACCTACTCTCTTTATGTCATCACTATCCCTTGGCTGATGATATCCATACATGTCCCAGGTCTCCCATAGCTGTACGGACCCCTGTCCCAGCACACTCCATCCTGGGACAATTAGCATTGTCTGTTCACTTTTGAATCGCCCCCAAAGGATTCAAGGCACAAGCCATGTTAGTGAATGAAAAGGATGGATAGTTGTACAGGCCAGCCCTGGTATCAGAAGCCTGTAGGGTCCAAGAGCAAAAGAGTCTCCAATTCCACGAATCCAGATCTGACCCCTGCAGTATAAATAGGGAATACGGGTACGTACTCTATGCTACCGGCTGACATCAGGCCCTGCTTCCCCACACATAAAAGCCCCTGAGTTTATCTGGTATCTCTCCCATGCGTCAGTTCTATGAAGAAAGGATATTCTTAGAAGCGGAACACAAAGGTGCCATGCCTATGTGCATCTAATCGTATAAAATACCTATTGAAATGAAGTCCAGGAAATGGAAACAAGAGGTTTACTTCTTTGTTGCCAGTTTTGTTTTCCTTTCTTTTTGCCTTGTTTGCTCCTTAATCTGTCTTTGGGAAGGTAAGGAGAGGAACAGGAATGGAGGGACAAAGGGGGAACAAATACAGCAGTGGTACTCACTGGACACTGTGTTGAAAATGAACTATACAGCTTGTGGGTGGGAATGGGAGGGAAAAACTGGAAGAGAGGGAGGGAAGCAGTGACACTGTCCAAAAAGAAATGTACTCATTACCTGACTTATGAAACAGTAACCTTTCTGTACATCACCTTTATAATAACAATAAAAAATAAGTTCTTAAGACAAGGTAGGCTAGAGTGTCTATACACTAACAAGAACTTTTCCCCATTCCTGGTCTTTGCCACATTTTGCCACAAATTCATATTATCCAGCCCCCCCTCCCACCATGCTTACCTCTCTACGAGGCTAGAAGCATCCAGGACACAGCTCACTTGCTCTCTCCTTGTCCTAGATCCCAGCATACAATCTATCAGCCCAGTGATGATAAAGGCTTGTTGGGAGACTGGCATCACCTGCACAGGGGGCACGGGTGAAGTGGAAAGCAAAGCCAGCTGACATCTGGGCAGGAAACTGCCTACGGCCTGTCTTCACTGGGGTTGCCCAATCCCAAGCCAGCAGGCCCTCCTGACAACAAATCCACAGTGCCCAGGACTGGACCTCAGTTCGTCTATCATTTGGGAGCAAATGGGCACTGCTGTAGGGTGGAGCCAGCTGGAGGCCAGACCTGCAGCACTGAGTCCCTGGGAAAATCCCCTCCCAGCTCCTCAGCCCTTCACTCCCAGCCTGTGTCCAGTATCCTCGCTGGCTTGGAGCTGACTCTTGTGCTAAGACATTGCTAGCAATGACTATTTCTCAGTGCTTCTATGGACTAAACCTTTGCAATATAAAGAGGTCAGATGGATTGTGTACCCCGTGTGCACTGGCTGAAATAGAGGCCCTGCTTCCTCACACATGAGAGCTGAGGTCTAGGACCTTAAACCTAGGTTGGGTGAAGCTTGAAGCCCCAAATTAGCCAATCAAGACAAGTATGCAGACTCAGAGCACAAGCTCCTGGTGTCTACCTTTGTACTACCAAGTCCTCTGCCTCTCTACCCAGCTTCAGCTATGCATGGGACAAGCGTGGGTGGTACTTCCCTCTCAGCCAGGCTGGGGGTTGGAGACTGAAGGTTGCCAGGGAGAAGAGGGGAGTGCAGGCAGTCCCTTGGGCTAGCCAGGTGTAACCACTGGCTACTAGCTCCTGTCATGTGACTCTACTTCACTTCTACTCCCTGGCCAGAGATAATTGCAGTAGGTGCAGAGGACACCAGATGCCCCAGTGCCACTGCAACAAAGAATGTAAGCTCTGGGGACGCAGAGTTGTGCACTTAGTGTGAGGTAAATAACCTAGAGATGAAAAAAACAGCCTCAGCAGGTTGCTTTACAGTGGAGAGAGGGGCATGGGTGTCCAGACAGCTCAGAGACTCAGACTTGGAGTGTGGCAGCCAGAGGACCTCAGCCTCATGATCTCAGTGGAGCCATACAAGGGTCCTGAGCTCAGGGCTCCTGCACCTCATCTCCACCCCTACCCCTAGCCTTTACCAGGGGTCTGATGGCTTCCAGCAGCCTAAGGAAGCTAACTTTGTACCTGCCCATGCTACAAAGGCCTGCCATGGGTCTCCATTGGAAGAATAAAGCCAAGCTCCTCAGCCTGGCCTGTCTTGGACTAGTCCCCCAGCCTGGCCTGTTTCAGGCCTCATTCCAACCATTGTTCTCGCACAGTGTGAGATTCTTCCAAAGCCACCAGGCATGCTCTTCCATCAGTCAGAAATGACTATGCTTCAGTTCACAGCCCCGAAGTGCTTCCTAGACATCAAGGCTCAGACAGAAATGCCACCTCCTTCATGAAGCCTTCCTGGCCCCTGGTGCAGAGCCCCAATGCTAGAGCCAACAGCCAGGCAGGACTGTGCAGTGATCTGTGGCTGGCCTGAGTTCTGGCTTCAGTCAGGCTGTCTGCTATTGTCCCTTTTAGTTTCTCAGATGATAGCACAAGCCCTTCAGGGCCAGCCAGTGCTTCTGCCCAATCTGGGCATGGTATCTTCACTACAAGCTCCTGCATCCCTGGCCTTGGAGACTGAGAAAGAGGGTGGGAATCCACTGAACAAAAACCTTCTTGGGCTATGGCAGGCACTATGTCTACAAAATGAGAATGGGGTGTGGCCCCTGTCTTTGAAGAAGCAAATCTTTTGATTTTTTAAAACATCAGAACTGGAGAAAAGCTTCAAAATACAAGAATGTTTCTAAAATGGTAAAAAGATATAATAATCTAAATGATATAAAACATAATTGGTCTAGCCAGGAGCCAGTGGCTCACGTCTGTAATTCTAGCTACTCAGGAGATTGAGATCTGAGGATCATGGTTCAAAGCCAGCCAGAGCAAGAAAGTCCCTGAGACTCTAACCACCAAAAAGCCAGAAGTGGATCAAGTGATAGATCACTAACCTTGAGCAAAAAAAAATCATAGGACATCATCCAGGCCCTGAGTTCAAGCCCAGGACCAGCATGCGCTTGTGTGTGTGTTTGCATGCACACACACGCACATGCATACATACACACACACACAAATTAGTCTAACCCATTGTCCCAAAAACAAATGTACTCACTACCTGACTTATAAGTTGGTAAGCCCTCTGTACAACACTGTAATAACAATAAAATTTTTAAAAGGTATCAAACTAAAAAAAGTTAGTCTAAACATTCTACATTGAATATGTAAATCGTACATCACTGTTGCACTCCATTAATGGATAACATTATTATTTGTCAATCATAAGAAATGAAAGAGAAGAGTACTAAGGTCAAAACTCCATTCAATGCAAAGGGGAAAAATCCTTCCAGGGAATCTACTGCTGATGTTCCTATGAGCAATAAAATTTTCTTAATTACATTAGTGCTTGCCAGGTACCCTCATACACCATCAAAGGTGTTGAATATAAGAGCAAACAAACGAATGAGGCACCTTGCCATAAACTTAGAAGTTATTATGATGAATCACTATCCCTGTTATATAGATAGAGAATTTAAGACAGAGAGAGAAGGCAGATGCTAGTGGATCAAAGGATCTGGTCTGAGGCCAGCTATGAGTCTCTTATCTCCAATTAACCAGAAAAAAAGCTAGAAGTGAGTGGGGGCCAGTGGCTCATGCCTGTAATCCTAATTGCTCTACTCAGGAGGCTGAGATTTGAGGATCGGAGCTCCAAGCCAGCTCAGACAGGAAAGACCATGAGACTCTTATCTCCAATTAACCACCAGAAATAGAGCTTTTTTACTCAAGGGTAGTGTACTATGACTTTGATCCACAGCTCCACTTCCAGCTTTTTGGTGGTTAATCAGTGAGCTGTGGTTCAAAGTGATAGAGTAGTAGCTTTGAGTAAAAAAGCTGAAGAGGATATCACCCAGACCTTAGTTCAAGCCCCTAGTACAGAGAGAGAGAGAAAGAGGGGGGGGAGAATGAAAGTACCAACTAGCTTGAACAAATGCAAAAAACTAAGTAAAGTCTCAAGTTATCAGATTCTAAATGCAGGGTCCTCCCTATCCAATGATCACAGGGCCCTCATTTGCTCATCCCTCCATGGGGCTCCTTCTAACCACTGTGCTAGGGGCTACATCTGCAGACAGGGCACCACGTATGCAAGGTGGAGGCTAGGCTTGCGTTTTCCCTTTCTAGTGGGTTGACCTAGAGCTCATCTACTCTCGGCACAAATCACAAATCATACATTTCTCTGGGCTGTCCCTGGACCACCTTCTCAGCAGCCCCCTCATGTTCTCCAATTTCCTGCACTGGAGATGAATCCCTGAGCATTATCTTGAGCCTGGTTCACAATGACAGGGAAGCAGCATTCATACTTCTTGGAGGGAATAGTTAGGTCTGGGAGGGGAGGCGTATTCAGCCAGGCAGCATGGCTTTTCTTTAGCTTCATGCTCACGAGGGGGGAAGGATTTATATTACAGAGTGAGGCCTAAGAGAGCCTGGGCCTCCATGTTTTTCAGAATACAGACCCCTCACACCAAGCAGCAGTCCCAGGGAGCGGGCTTGCATCCTGAGGGGTCTCTGGCAATGAAGGAAGGGAAGCCCAGTGGAGAAAGAGGCTTAGCACTCATGGAAAGTGTGCAGGAGTCCAGACATTCTTCCTCAGGGAGCTCAGGGCTCCTCCCTGCCCACATCCCTGTGAAGCGGGATACTTGGAGCTACTTTTCAGGCCACAGGTTAAAAGGTGATTATCCAAGCCAGGGAGAGGATAGATCCATAGAAGCAAGAAGAAAGCAAGCCGGGGCAGTGCAGGGATACCGAGACCAGACGTTAGGAACTGGCTCTGTCCCGATGGTGTGGATGATTCTCATTCTCATCACATCCTCTTACACATGAGAGACCCTGGAGGTCTAAACACTGTGCTGCCCCCAAGCCCTTGGCCTTGACCTCACTGAAGCTCCAGAGGGAGACGGGTAGCTGGTCTTACTAAGACTGATCGGGCCGTGGGCCAGATGGGAGGACAAGAGGTGTGAGGGGGTGTCTACAGAAAGAGCTGGAGAGCTCCTTGCCTTAGGCTGACTCTAAAAAGAGCCAGTTCTTAAGCTCATGGACTCACACTGCAGTGCTCAGGCTGAGGTGGGCCAGGCTGGGGGTGGGGGTGGGGCCTCAGGTCTAGCAACAGGAGTGCTGCCTTTTGTCTTAACTCAGACAGTTCTCCACTTCTCACCAGATGTGACAAAGGGTGTAGCACAGTAACATCTGGGGCTCCGACCCCCCCACTGAAAAGAACCCCAAATAAGGTGCTTCTTCTTGTGGGGCTGGGAGAATTGTCTTGCCAGGCCTGGAGTCTGGATAACCAGGTGAGGAACCACGTGGCTTCCCATGGATGGAGGTGAGGCATCAGGCTGCCTTACCAGCCCTGCAGCGGGCCAAGCCGCCCCCACTCTGTGTATGGAAAAGGTTCTGCTCTTTCACAAAATCCAGGGGCCTGCCCTCCCTCTTCTCATGGGTCTTCTGAAGGCCAAGCTGTCTGGGGAGAAGTAGGCTTGGGAGAAATGAACCTCTTCTCACCCTAAGGCGCTCCTCCCCCCACCCCCAACTCCTTGCTCTCTTCCCCGAGACTGGCAATCCGGGCTGACAGAACAGGACTCCAGCTTGAGCCTCCTGGAATTCTTTCCCTCCCCCTCGCCCTCACTTCCTGCACCTAGTAATTCCTAGGGAAAAGAAGTGTCCCACTTCTGATCCCACCAGGGGTCCCACACCATGAGCAGGCGAAGCACCTCCTTCAATCCATGCACGATGGGGCCAGCGATCAGAGGAGAGAGGAAGGCATCCATCTATCTGAGCCACGAAAGTACAGTGGAGTCCCAAACGTGTCCATCCGTGAGGCGCAGGTGCAGGAGCTGGGTTCCCAAAGCTCTGAGGCCGGATGCCAGCGCCAGCCCCGAGGGGACAGTGCTGGGTCCCTCGCTCCCTGTCCCAACTCCCCAAGGACCAGCAGCAGCACGAATGCAGACAGCCAGGGCGCCCCAGGCCAAGGCAGGAGACCCAGCCAGGGCACAATGACCAGCGTCTGTCCGATCTCCATCCCCGCCTTAGAAAGACGCACAGCGCGACACCCGGGAATGTTCCTAACAAAATACATACGTGTTTTATTTTAATTTTGTCTCTGCCTCAGTTCAAGTTCACCAAGAGACTGGAGAAAACCCTCGGCTGACCGGAAGCCCGGCTCGGCAGCAGCGGAACGAGAGAGGGGAGCTGCTCCCGGTGAACGTCTCCGCGGAGGAAGAGGGTGGCGGTGCGCACCCCGAATGCGCCCTGGCCCCCTCCTTGAGTACCCGGCCCCGGCCCTCGGCCCCTGGCCCCCGTCTCCGGGAGGGGGCTAGTCCCACCGCCTCGCGCCCCGAGCCCGGCGCACCCCGCCCCGGCGCGATTGTTGCGAAGTGTGCCCCAACACGCACCCGCTCCCCGCTCCCCTGCTCGGCCCGGCGGCGCCCCCCACCCCACCCCAGCAAGTGCGCCCCGAACCTTAAGTGGGTGCAGTCCCGCCGCGCTCGCAGCCACCGCGACACAAACTTGTCTGCTCGCGCGGGGGACCCGGCCACGGCACCCGCGAGACAGGACTCACCCCGAGATCGCGGCCGGCGGGGGGTGCCCGCACCTGCGCTCCCTGCGTCCCGGGGCTGAGCCCGCAGCCCCGCAGTGTCCGGAG